CCACCGGCCCCACCAGCATCACATATGGGCACTGAGCCAGAGCTGCTCCACTTCTGATGCAGCTCCCTGCTAATGCGCTGGGAAAGCAGTGGATGACAGCCCAAGTCTTTGGGCCCCTGCACCCACATGGGAGACCGGAAGAAGCGCCTGCATCCTGGCTCTGGACTGGCCCAGCCCTGACCATTGTGGCCATTTGGGTAGTGAACCAGTGGATGGAAGATTGATCAACTGATCTCTCTGCTTCTTCATCTCCTTCTGACTTTCAAATAAGTACATGAATCTTAAAAAAAAAAAAAAAAAAAAAAAGGTAAACAAAAACAAATCACCAGTGTGAGAATGACAGATCTCGGAACTGTACAGATTGTTTACACACATAAAGTAAAGGGATATGGAGGATTTGAGAAGCACACCTATTAAGGCGAATACATTGGCCGGCGCCGCGGCTCACTAGGCTAATCCTCCGCCTAGCGGCACCGGCACACCGGGTTCTAGTCCCGGTCGGGGCGCCGGATTCTGTCCCGGTTGCCCCTCTTCCAGGCCAGCCCTCTGCTGTGGTCAGGGAGTGCAGTGGAGGATGGCCCAAGTGCTTGGGCCCTGCACCCCATGGGAGACCAGGAAAAGCACCTGGCTCCTGGCTCCTGCCATCGGATCAGCGCGGTACGCCGGTCGCATCGCGCTGGCCGCGGCGGCCATTGGAGGGTGAACCAACGGCAAAGGAAGACCTTTCTCTCTGTCTCTCTCTCTCTCACTGTCCACTCTGCCTGTCAAAAAAAAATAATAAAAAATAAAAAATAAATAAAAAAAAAGGCGAATACATTAAACACAAAACTTTGTAACAAAAAAAGTACATTTTCCTTTCAGATACTCAAACTTTTTTAAAAAAAATTAACTGTACTAGTTTTAAAACCTCAAATTCCAAAGAACAAAAACAAACCATTCACTTATCACAGCTAAAAATCAGAAATTAATCCACCAAATATATCCACCTGGAAATTTATAAACACTTCTATCAACTGAAATTGAAGAGGAAACCAAAACAAATTTCAAAATTAATGGCAATGAGAACATAATACTCGTATATCAAAAGCAATGGGATATACCCAAGTGGTACACAAAAGGAAACCTCTAGCCTTAAGTGTTTATGCATTCAAAAACAAGGGAATGGGGGCTGGTGCTGTGGAGGGTAAAGGCGCCCCTACAGTGCCAGCATCCCTTATGGGCACCGGTTCAAGTCCCAGCTGCTCCACTTCCAATCCAGCTCTGTGGTATGGCCTAGGATAGCAAGTCCTTGGGCCTCTGCACCCACATGGGAGACCTGGAAGAAGCTACTTGTTCAGTGCATCTCCGGCCATTGTGGCCATCTGGGGAGGGAACCAACGGGTGGAAGACCTCTGATTCTCCTTCTAACATTTTCAAATAAAATAAATGAATCTTTAAAGAAAAGGGGGGGGGGGAGGAATGTCATACACAAAATGAAATGCTGAAGAAAGTAAAAGACCCAAAATAAGCAGAAAGGAATTAATGAAAGCAAAATTCTAATAGAAAACCAGCGTCATGAGCAAGACCACAGTAGATCTGATCAAACCAAGCTCTGAAAAAGCCATTAAGATCTACAAAATCTACTAACTATATCTGAACCCTCCCCCCCAAAAAAAGATGTTTCCTTAATAAAGAAATCCAAAGATGAAAGAGCATATAGCCAGATAATTCACAACCCAATAATATACACAACTTTTAACAGTAAGTTTAAAATGTACACTAAACAGAATTAGCTCAAAAAAATACAAAAAGGATATCAACATGAGATAGGAAACATGAAAGTCAAAAGTACTAAAAGTTTTTAAAAAGAAGTCACAGATCAGCCACCAAACCAACCAACTCTGCAAGCTCAGTTGGTTTTCAGGCAAATTTTTCTAAGACAAAGGAAATAATTGAAAGCTTCCCAAGCCAGCCCTACTAGCACAGCCTCACATCAAAACCTTAAAGAGAGGGGCCAATGTCATGGTGTGAAAGTCAGAGAGAGGGTGGTAAGATGGGACCTTCCATCAGCAGGTTCACTCCCCAAACAGCTGTGACTGGAGCTGGGCCAGGCCACAGCCAGGAGCTTCACCTGGGTCTCCCACGTGGGTGGCAGAGGCCAAACACTTGGTCCCCCTTTGGCGCCTTTCCCTGACCAATAGCAGGAAGCTGGATCAGAAGTGGAACATCCAGGACTCTAACCGAAGACTATGTGGGATGCCGGAGGCGAATTTACCTGTTACACCAGAACGCTGGCCCAGAAAAGGGTATCTTAGCCACTAAGCTAAAAGCCCACCCCCAGATTTCAAGTGTTACCCATCAAAATACTGATCTTTTAATTCTAATTTTCCATGATCTTTCTGAAGTACCCTTGTAAATACAAAGAGATTAAATCTTCATTTGATTCTTGCAAAGTGAAACTAAAAGCACATTCTTGGGGGGTGCTAGCAGTCAACAGTGGTTTCTTCATCTAACAGATGCACCCCTGGAGCTCAGAACACACACAAGATCAATACTTCGTCTATTCTTTAGCAGGTCTTTTACCTGAGAGATGACTTTTCATGATTTATCAATCAGAGAAAGCAATGAAGAGGACCACAACAGACATCAGACACCAAACCAAAAAAATAACCCTACAACAGGAATATCTATTTCCTTGAAGGCAGTTTCAAAACCACTTCAATAATATGTCCCCTAAAACAGTCTTCTTAACCAGTGTCATCTTTGAGTGGTCTTTGATTCACCTGTCTCTGAACAGGAGGAACTTTTTCAAAATGCTGCTTCTGGGGCCAACACTGTGGCGTAGCGGGTAAAGCTGTCGCCTGCAGTGCCGGCATCCAATATGGGTACCGGTTCAAGACCTGGCTGCTCCACTTCTGATCCAGCTCTCTGCTATGGCCTGAAAAAGCAGAAGATGGCCCAAGTCCTTGGGACCCCGCACCCGCGTGGGAGACCCAGAAGAAGCTCCTGGCTCCAGCCATTTCGGCCAATTGGGGAGTGAACCAGTGGATGGAAGACCTTTCTCTGCCTTTCCTTCTCTGTGTAACTCTGACTTTCAAATAAATAAATAATTTTTTTTTAAATGCTGCTGCTTAGGGGCTGGCATTGTGGCCCAGCATATTAAGCCTCTGCCTGCAACGCCAACATCCCATATGCGCAATGGTTCGAGACCCGGCTGCTCCACCTGGGAAAGCAGAAGATGGCCCAAGTGCTTGGGCCCCTGCACCTATGTGTGAGACCTCGAAGATGATCTGCCAGACTCCTGGCTGCAGTCTGGTCCAGCCCCAGCTGTTGCAGCCATTTGGAGAGTGAACCAGTGGGTGGAAGATCTCTGCCTTTCAAATAAAATTTTTTAAAAAGTAAATCTAAAAAACGCTGCTTCTCAGCGCCCTCTCAGATTTTGATTCCAAAACTAGAGAACTAAACCAGGGAATCTGCATTTTTAACTTCTCGGTCATTTGTATGCTTCATTTAAGCACAATTCCACAGTAACCAGAAATTGTGACGTCAAGTTCAAGGAGGCCTTGAACACAAAAAGATCATGCTTATGCTTGGTCTCAGGGCAATGAAGAAATAACTAATAGAATTCAGTAAAGCACGCCGGTGAGGCGCAGGAGCTAAGACGCCAGAATTCCCGAGTTTAAGTTTCTATTCCACCATGCATCAGCCATTGACAATTTTCTCATCAGCAAAATGCAGTACTATCACCTGCCTCGGAGCTGCGAGGGCTAACGAGCTACCAAAGCTCCCAGGAAGCTGCCTGACCGCGTAAACATCCAAACTCAATGCCCGAAGAACGCTTGCAGCTGTGGCCCTCCCTAGCTGTTTCTGGAACTTCCATCCACCTCCATCAGGATAACACAAAGCCATGAAGGAACTAATGCTTTACATTAAGAACCAGGTGCTTCTCAAATAAGACAAAAACCAGGTAACCGACTCCACAAACAGCCAAAGTTTATTTATAATGCGTTTTCCAAATCTCTTGCAAGACAGAAAAAAAAAAGAGTAGAAAACTCCCAACTTTTCATACAAGAGTTACACTGAATCACCAAATCACAAAAGATCAAAGTAACTGGTTGGTCGGGCAACCGGGTACAAGAGTATCCAATCAAGATCTCAGACATCCAGCTGCAAGTCCATCTCTTCGACAATCACCGGCGAGCACCTCCACATGGTCAAGCTCCCGTCATCGGGACAATTGATACTGAATTGAAACATGTAAGCGGGACAAGCTGTACGGCACAGAAAAAGAAATCTGACAATAAAATGGGAGAAACGGATTCTCTACCAAGTCCAAGTGTGCGATTCCCTGGCTGCTGCTGCCCCTCAACGGGGGGTGGGGTGGGGGGGGGGGGGGGGGTTGATGATGGCCAGAACGCTGCAGACCCGAATCGTGAAAACCTGCAAGTACATGGAAGGCAAACAGCTCTCTGGGTTCTCTGGGTGGGAGATGACCTGAATTCTCATGGGAACAAAAGCTGCAAAGCTGAGGGGCACGAAACGCACAACCCAGTTTCAGGCCGGGAGAAACTCAGGGGGCTGCTAATTAGCCGTTCTCCGCCAAGCCCGAAATTGCCCGGGGGTGGGGGGTGGGGGAGGCGGAGACAACGTCTGGGAGAGCAGCTCTTTGGGAACCCAAGGACGCCAGACAGTATGGATTCAAAGGACTTGGGGGGAGGGGAGGCGGTGGAAATGAGGCAAAAGCAGCCTTTCGGAGGATGAGATCACGTGACCCTCGGGAACAGACGCCCAAGGAGCTGGGAAGGGGCAAGGATGGATCCCGGCGCCCCAGCACACGGGACGCCGGGCCCCGAAGGCGCGGCGCTGCGTCTGGGGAACCCAAGGCCTCTAGCCCAGGGCCAGAGCACGCACCAGCATGGGACCACCGTGCGGTTGCACTGTCCGCGCGCGGGAAAAACGGCGGCCCGGCCCCGAAGGGGGCAGGGCGAGCCGGGGCCGGGGGCGCCCCGCGGGGCACTTACGCGGCCGTTTCTTCCTCAGGCTTTCGACGCGCTGGCGAGACACCGAGGCAGGGCCGCTATAAGAGCCAGGCCGGACCCGCCTCACGCCCTCCGCCGCCGCCTCGACCGCGGGCGCCGACGCGCTGCTCGCCCGGCGCCGCAGTGGCTCCCGCCGCCGCCCTTCGGGGCCCCCAGGCGCCGGCTCCCCAGCCGACGAGGCGGAGGCGTCGGCGGCCCTGCCGTGGCGCTCCATGGGCGCGCCGAGCCGGCCCGTTCCCATTCGCAGCAGCCTTCGCTGCCGCCCGAGCCAGCCCCCCAGCGCCGAACTCCTCCTCGCCTCCTCCGCGGCAGTCCAGCCGGAGCAGAGGCGCACCCTCGGCTGGCCGCCTCTTCCGTTGCGCCAACGCGCAGCAAGCCAATCCCAGCAGGCTGGAGGAGGCCCGAAGACCTCGCGGCCAATAGGTTCCATGACTCGAGGCGGATCGACCTCGCCTCCGTCCAATAAGAAGCTCGCAAGATGGGGCGGGGCCGAGGATGGAGGAGGAGGGGAGGATCCGGGCTCGGGGGAGGAGGAGAAGGTGGTGTCGCCGAGAAGAGAGTGATGGCGACGCCGCCCAATGGACGCGTGTTGGGGGGATGGGGAGGGTCCGCGCCCCCTTTTACCTACCCACCCACCCCCCCCTCCACGGGTGGGCGGTCGGCGCCCCAGGGGCCCGGAACTCTCCCGGCACTCGGACTCCACCGAGCACCCCGGAGTCCCACTCCGACGCCCCGGGTCGTCCTCTCTTCGCGCCCTCCTGCTGCCGGGCAGGGCCCCCGCAACGCCATCGGTCGTTAGCAAACGGAAGGGCTTGCAGCGCGTCTGACCTTAGCCTTTGTCCCCCGGCCTGGCTCCGCGGCTGCCGTCGAGGCCTCCGGTCCCTCCCCCCAGCATGTCCGAGCGGAGCCCCCGCCGCTGCGCCGCGTTGGAGGGACGTTCCCGGGACCAGAAGGCAGGAAGGCCCCGGCTGGTCTCCATGGCAACGGAAGGCGGCGGGGTAGAAATCCGTTGCCACCCTCCCGGGGCGACGGAGGGGCTGAGGGAGCCGGGGAGGGAGGCTCGGCCTTTTGAGGGCCAGTCTGGAGCCCCTTCCTGTGTGGGGCGCGGGGTCGACGTGGATTTCGCGGCCGTCCCGGAGCCTGGATTTTTTTTTTTAATTTATCTATTTTTAATCAGCTCCCCTTCTTCTTGGAGGAGAAAAAATGGTCACTTCCAGCCCTCAGACCCTGCCCTCTCACACCTACCACAGGCCCCTCCAAACCTCCCTTCTACCAGAGGCTGCCCAAGCCTGGGATGGCTCCTAGCACCACACCCCCAAGACACCCACTCCATCAAGTTCAGCTGAACTGTAGGCTTATCTCGTGCTAATGATTTCCTAAGCGTCTCCCCAGGGGCGTTATAATGTCCCTGGAGTGATAACCCTTACTTTCTTCCCTCCCCTGATGACCCACAGTGGCGGGGTGAACCAGGTTGAGCTTCTCAGGCTCGTTGAACAGAAACTACCCATGCTCACCCCAGACAAGCTCCCCAGCTCCTGCAGGAAGCCACCCCCGGTGGATCCCCCAAGAACCAAGGCTTCTAAGTTACAGTGCCGAAGACAGCCTTTCACCTCCCCTCGTGCCATCCTCCTCGACCTTTCCATGTATGATCTCTCTAACCATCCTGAAGAACGAAAGAATCCCTGTGACTCTCAAATAAATTTTAAAGAAAGACCAAAGAATCATCATCTCTTGGCCACCAAGATGAACCCCAACATCATAACACCTGAGATACATGTAGTGTATTGAGTTTTCCCAGTACTTTCACATCTCATTCCCCCACCCACCCACCACCACCAGCATCACCAAGACTGGATGAAGAGGCAACTCATGAACTCATCCATCCAGAAGCACATGGCTTGAGAAACAAGGAGTCTGGACTCCCGAGGTCAGCTCCTCTCTGCCTGTTGGAACCAAAAGAAGTCACAGACTTGGTGAAATCCCAACACTGGAAAACTTCTCAGTGTGTACGTTAGCCTGCACTGAGTATTTGTGAACTTGCTGACAGTCTATGGGCTTCATTGCAGTTTACCTAAAGTAACAGGTGATGCAATATACTGATGGCAAGTAGGAGAGATGTTTATGAAATGGAAATGGGGGCAGTGTCTGGCACAATAGTTGTCATCACTTGGAACACCCACATCCCATGTCAGAGTACCTGGTTCAAGTCGCAGCTCCTCCACTCCCACCCCAGCTTTCTGCTAATATGCGCCCCCCACCCCCATCCCCAGGAAGCAACAGGCAATGGCTTAAGTGCCTGGGCCCCTTGGATACCCATGTGGGAGACCCAGATAAAGTTCCAGGCTCATGGTTTCAGACTGACCCAGCCCTGACTGTTGTGAGCTTTTGGGGAGTGAACCAGCAAATGGATGATCCATTGATCTCTCTCTGTCTCAGCCTTTCAAATAAAATGAAAATAAATAAAAAATTTTAAAGACAGTTTGAAGATTTGCCTTAGAGCAAAGTAAAGTAAACCCATGATTAAGATTTCTCTTCCGGGCCGGCGCCGCGGCTCACTAGGCTAATCCTCCGCCTGTGGCGCCAGCATCCCGGGTTCTAGTCCCGGTCGGGGCGCCAAATTCTGTCCTGGTTGCTCCTCTTCCAGGCCAGATCTCTGCTGTGGCCCGGGAGTGCAGTGGAGGATGATCCAAGTCCTTGGGCCCTGCACCCGCATGGGAGACCAGGAGAAGCACCTGGCTCCTGGCTTCAGATCAGCGCGGTGTGCCGGCTGCAGCACACTGGCCGCAGCGGCCATTAGAGGGTGAACCAATGGTAAAGGAGGACCTTTCTCTCTCTCTTTCTCTCACTGTCCACTCTGCCTGTCCAAAAAAAAAAAAAAATTTCTCTTCGGGGCCTGTGCTGTGGCAGAGCAGGCAAAGCCGTTGCCTGCAGTGCCAGCATCCCATATGAGCATTGGTTCGAGACCCAGCTGCTCCACATACCAATCCAGCTCCCTACTAATGGTGTGGGAAAAGCAGTGGAGGATGGCCCAAGTGCTTGGGTCCCTGCCACCCACGTGGTGAAGTTCCTGGTTTCTAGTTTTGGCTTGGCCCAGCTCTGGTCATTTAGAGGTGAACCGGAATCTGGAAGATTTCTCTCTCTCTGTAACTCTGTCTTTCAAATAACTAAAGAAATCTTTCAAAGAGAGAAAAAAAATTATTTTCAGGGGATGACATTGTGGCGATACCAACATCCCTTATGGGTGCCAGTTCTAGTCTCCACTTCCAATCCAGTTCCAATCCAAGTTATCTGCTAACAGGCTGAGAAAGCCACAGAATATGGCCAGGTGCATCTGTTATATTACTATAATACATTATATATAAATAAATATTAACATAATAAATTATTATAAAAATAAATTATAATAACCCCTTATTTCATAGCACTCCCTGTCCCTCAAAACACACTTTGAGAAATTCATCTCTGGGTATAAAATTGCTAGCTAGGAGCTGGCTTGGTGCAGCAAGTTAAGCCACACCTTGTGACATCTGCAACCCACATTGGAGTGCTGGTTCAGGTCCCAGTTGCTCCGCTTCCAATATGGCTTCCTGCTAACATGCATGGTGGCACATGGTGGCTCAAGTACTTGGGCCCCTTCTGCCCAGGTGGGAGACCAGGATGGAGTTCCCAGGTCCTGGCTTCAGCCTGTCTCAGCCCTGGCTGCTGTAACCATTTAGGGACTGAACCATCAGATGGAAAAATCTCTCTTCCTCTCTCTTTTTGCTCTTTCAATTAACTAAAAAAGTAAATCTTTAAAATCATTAGCAACTCTGTTATATTAAATGCAATGAAGATCCAGTTCTTTAGACTTTGAAAGCTTGATGACTGGTATCATTTTCACTCCCAAACAAACCTGTCAGCAAAAGTAGATTTCCTTCATTTCTCTCGATGGCGCTGCCATTTCTGTTGCTGTAACTTGACTCTTTCCTCTCATTTGACCCTTTTCTGGAATTCAGCACTGTTCAAGACAGCTGTAACGCAAACCACATGTACAACCTAAAATTCTCTAACAGCCACACTGTTAAAAAGAAGAGAGTTAATATATTCTGTTTAACCCAATACTCAAAATATTACCATTTGTACCTGAGGCAGCAGTCACTTTTTATTTTTATTTTTTTGACAGGCAGAGTTAGACAGAGAGAGACAGAGAGAAAGGTCTTCCTTTTCCTTGATTCACCCCCAAAATGGCCGCTATGGCGGGAGCTACGCCGTTCCGAGCCAGGTGCTTCCTCCTGGTCTCCCATGCAGGTGCAGGGCCCAAGCACTTGGGCCATCCTCCACTGCCTTCCCAGGCCACTGCAGAGAGTTGGACTGGAAGGGGAGCAGCCGGGACAGAATCCGGTGCCCCAACCAGGACTAGAACCCAGGGTGCCAGTGCCGCAGGCAGAGGATTAGCCTAGTGAGCCTCGGCACTGGCCAGAGGTCACATTTCAAGTGGTTGATAGCACCTGTGTTGACGGCCATCACAGACAAGAAGCTCTGATGGGTCATTTATTTGTATTGTCTCTCTCTCTCTCTTTTTTTTTTTTTTTTTTTTTTTTTTTTTTGACAGGCAGAGTGGACAGTGAGAGAGAGAGACAGAAAGAAAGGTCCTCCTTTGCCGTTGGTTCACCCTCCAATGGCCGCTGAGGCTAGTGCGCTGCGGCCGGCGCACCAGCGCACTGTGCTGATCCGAAGCCAGGTGCTTCCTCCTGGTCTCCCATGGGGTGCAGGGCCCAAGGACCTGGGCCATCCTCCACTGCACTCCCGGGCCACAGCAGAGGGCTGGCCTGGAAGAGGGGCAACCAGGACAGAATCCGGCGCCCCGACCGGGACTAGAACCCGGTGTGCCGGCGCCGCTAGGCGGAGGATTAGCCTAGTGAGCCATGGCGCCGGCCTGTATTGTCTCTTATATGTTGGCTCTGCCTCAAGTGTCTCTCCAGGTCCACTGCTTCAAGGTTCATCTTATTAAAGACTGGTATGTATGTAACTGGCCACCCTTTGCATAGTTGGAAAAGAACAACTCTGGGGAAAAAAAATGGTGGCGATCCTTGAATGCTAATTCACCATTATTGGGCCTCCTTGCCCTTTTGCTCCTCACTTGCCACCTGCTCATACAGCATGGTCCCCAAAACAGACCCCGTAGTCTCCAGACAGGCCTTGCTCTCGGAAACCTGGGTGCATCCTTTGTCTCGGAAACCCCTTCCCATCATATTTCTGTTTACCAAATTCCAACCCGACTTCCATGGCATAGCCCAAGTGGCACACTTTCCACCGAACCTTGTCATCTTTTATGACTTATCACTTTTTTCCCCCAAGTCACCAGGAGCTCTGACAGCAGTGGAAGTCCCAAGGCGAGAGAAATGAGGAGGAAGAAACTGCAGAGGCTGCCCCACGTGGAGATGCCAGGGGAGGGGCATTTGTTGA